GCAGTCCAGCCAACCGTCGAAGTTGGCCAGAATAGCGCCGACGGTTCGCTTTCGGGCAGTGGGGCTGACCAGCAGCTCCCACCACCACGCATCACGCGCGCGCCGTCGCGACTGGCGCTTCCACTCTCCGACCGCCTCGCCCGGCGGGTCCACCTCACTCCGGCGGTATTCCCGCCGACGCCTATAAACTTCGGCGTCGGCGGCCGCCTGGAGATCAAAGAAGAGGGATCCCGCCAGGATCAGCGTAGCCTCCGTGGATACGGTGCGGTAGCCCCTGACAATCTGATGGCTACCCGCCGCTGTAGGCGGCGGAGGGTGTGCCAGCTACGCCGGCACTTCTCCAGGGTTGCGCCCCATACGGAACTGCCGTATAGGACCATGACCCGCACCACTCCCACATAGAGCCGGCGCACTCCCTCCTGCGGTCCTCCGAGGTTAGGCATGAGACGATCAAGCATGGTCGCCACCCCCTCCACGCAGGGAACCAGGCGGTCGAAATGTCCCTCGAAGCGCCAGCGGCTATCGATGTCCAGGCCGAGATACTTGATCCGGTCCCGGACATCGATGCAGGCTCCACCTATTCGGATCCGCGCCGGGGACGGCCACCGCGATAGACGCAGCCGGTGAAACCAGACAGCCTCTGTCTTCTGCAGCGACACTTCCAACCCCAAGGCACGGATCCGAGCGACGACCGAGGCGACTCCCATCTCTGGCAGTCGGCTCGTCCTCTCCCACTCCCTGCCGCCGGCGATCACGAATGTGTCGTCTGCGAAACAGACGATCGCGACGCCTGGCGGCAAGGGCCCACGGAGCATGCGGTTATACCCCACCAGCCACAGGCCGGGACCCGAACAGGACCCCTGGGGCACACCGCGCGACACGCTCCTCCGATGCATACCGCACCGGTGCGGGTACTCTACCCACCTATCACGCAGATAGTCGGCGAAGACGACCATCAGGTGAAAAGGCGCTCCAGACTCCCAGAGCGCCTCCCGTATCTTGCCCCAGGGCAGGGTATTAAACGCGTTGGAGATGTCCAAAGACACCCCCAGCGCCACCCCGCCCCGGGATACGGCCGAGTCCGCGAGGGCCATGACGTACTCGATCGCATCGAGCGTCGAGCGACCCCCGCGAAAGCCGTACTGGCACTCAGCCAAGCCGAGCTCACCAACGCAGGACAACTGGACAGCGAGGCGGGAAGCGAGCACACGCTCTAAAAGCTTTCCCGCCTTATCCAACAAGCAGATGGGCCGGTACGCGGAGAGGGAGCCCGCGGGCTTGCCCTTTTTCGGGACGAGCATGAGCCTTGCCCGCTTCCACTGTCGCGGCACGCGCCCCAACCTCAGGCAACCGTCCAGCAGCCGCCTGAAGCAGGGCCCAAGGACGCGCAGGGCCATTACCCATGCCCGGCCGGGAATGCCGTCAGGACCCGGGGCCGTGTTGTGGGCCACAAGCTTAGCGACGGCATCGGCGAGCTCCTCTTCGGTGACCCCGTCGTTGGCGGACCAGATGATCCGGTCCGCTCGCTTGGCCGTCCTTCGCTCCTCCGAATCATCTGAAAAGAGCGCATCGACGACGCGCTCGAGCACGTCGGGGTCAAGACTCTCCGTAACCGGGAGCGCCGGTGATCGTAGACGCTCCATGACGATCTGGTAGGAACGTTCCCACGGGTCACGGGCCACAGAGTCTAGGAGCTCGTCCCAGGCTCGGGCCTTGGCCTTTTTGATGGCCGACTGGAGGGCGACCGTCGCCTGGTTGTAGGCACGGTACAGCTCCTCCTCCCTCGCCGGGTCGTGACTCCATCTGCGGCGGTACCGCGTGAACCGGGCTCGGACCACCACGCTGCTGACTCGCAGCGCGGCGATCTCGTCCGACCACCAGTGCACAGGCCGTCGCGGCGGGGTGCGGGCCCGGGGCATGGCGGCGTAACAGACAGCCGTCATGTGCCCCGGAACCACTTCTCCACCGCCTTAACGTCGTCGGGCGGTGTTTCCACCTAGGACATGGCGAGGGCTGCAGCCATCAGCGCGTCCTCGTCCAGGCGGCCCAGCACCCACCCTCGTGACGGCTGCCGCCCCGCAGAGCGGCGGGCGGGGCGGCCGTGATGGGCGGCGGAGACAACCAAAAGGATGTGGAGGTGGTCGCTAAGCGTTTCCACCTCCTCCGCCACCTGCCACCCCGACACGATTCACGCGGCGGCGGGCGAAGCCCAGGAGATGTCCACTATGGACACCCCCTCGCCGCCCCGAGAACGTATTGACGGATCCCCGGTTGAGCAACCGGAGGTCCAGTTCCGTCGCCCACTCCAGCACTGTGTCACCGCTCGCGTCGGTCCCGGGGCAACCCCAAGCCGTGGCTTTTGAGTTGAAGTCCCCCAGGACCAAAGTTGGCCTGGCCCGGCAGTGCGATTGCAAACAGTCCCGGACACGGTCTAGCATAGTCTCAAAGAACGCGAGAGGCAGGCTGGGCGGGGCGTAAACGCTCACCACCGCCAGGCCGCCATAGCACGCTGCGACATAGCCGCGCCCCTTAGCTAAAACGCTAAACGGCGCGGCCCCACTACTTAGTATCGCCACGGAACCCAAATCGTCGCCAGCCCAGTCTGGGCGGTCGGCGACGCGGTAGGCCTCCGCGGCGACAACGTTCACATTACCCTGACGTGACGTGGGCTGATGCTATCTGACGAAATATGCGTTCTGACGCGTCAGGAGCATATCAAACCCACTAGATTTTCCGTGAGCGTTGGAAGGCGTCAGGAGACCGGGTTGCTTTCTAGAATCCTGTTTTCCATTTTTGAGAGATAAACTAATTTCGAAAACATTAAAACTGCACTAAAGAGTATTAAAAGAATTTCTAGTTAATTTATATGAATTTATATGACCATTAATTTATATGAGCAGCTGTAAATATAATTGCTTAAAAGTACGAAAAAATGCAGTGAAAAGTATGAAATAATTTATATTTAACTGCATTATTACCAGATCTTGTAAAATTATTGAATAAGGAATTTTTTTTTTTGTTGAAAAAATTAATTTATATAATTATTTACTTATTTATACCAATATTTATATTAATTTTAACGAAATTGATTTGATTAGTTATTCTTCTTTCTGTAAATTTATATACATAAAAATTATTCATATTGATTATTATATGTTTAGGAGCTAACCCTTTTTATACAAAGTGGTTGAGCTTCTAATTCAAATTATTCTTTATTATGATCAAAGCATCTTATTACTCAATCAGTTTCCTATGAGGTAAGATTATTTCTTATATTATTGTCCGTTTGACAAAAAAAGGTGTTAGCGATTTGATGAGTGATGCTTGCAGTACAGGCTGACGCATTCGCTGCTTCTTTAGGTAAAAAAAATCCGAATTATGTGATGTTTGAGATCATTTTTATTGGAAAAACATAAGAAATCCATTGATATTACTTTCCCGACAATCTGATGAAAAATATAAACATTTTACGTACAGCAGTTCAGCTTTTCAATTATGCAATCAGATTTTTCATATAATTTCGTTAATTATTGTCCAAATTATGTCATGTGTGGTATCATTTTCATCGCAAAAACTTCAGGAATCGTTTGATGTTGTTTCCGCAAAGTTCTGATAAAAATTGCGGAAGTTGGTATTTTCATTTTTTAATGGCGTCAATCTGACTCCGCTTCATGTCTGACATGGACCCACGGAGCCTGATGTGACGTTGGCCCACGTCACGTCAGCGTAGTCTGTGGGACGCTTAACGGAGTTCACCTCAAAAGGGTGCTTTGGAGCACACTCGCGAACACCCACACACGATACGCGCTCACACACAGACGCACGCCACAAAAGGGAGAAAACCCAGCCAGTGGGCCCTACCTGAGTTTTATCGGTCTCGGGATCCCTGATTGCGGGGATGTCCTCTATGTGGTCTTTCAAAGGGACGGGATGGACGGATCAACCACACTCGGTGCACGCGCGAGATAACTCACAACACTCTTTCGACTAGGGGCTCGCTCGTTCGTCGCACGTACTCCGTCGCGGTTCGCGGTTAGCCGTTAATTCCTTTTTGGAAATCGATCGCGCATCGATCGTCGCGCTCTTCTCGCCGCCGGCGCCGGCTCGCGGCTCTCCCCACCCAGGAGCTGTAGGGGCTCCTTACGGTGTGCCACCACTATAGCATCTTCAGTCAGCTTCTCCTCGTGGCAACTCCAAGGGGCAATGTTGGCGGTATATCCTTTCCGAGAGTGGTCAGTCTTCTTGGTGGTAGCCACACCGCGGTCATGGGGTGGAGGACACCGCGACCGGCAACTTGCCGCGCTCACGCGAGGACGCGGCGTGGGTCGCGAGTACGCGGGGGCGCCTACAAAAAGAAGGCCGCAGAACAATCATTCCTTCAACCCTCCGCGGACCACCTCCGGACTGGGGTGTCCGGCGAGGAGGGAGCGAGGCCCTTCCGGGGGTCAGGGTGCTTTCGTGACGGGCAGAAAAAGTCTGCCCCATCACAATACATACATACTTACAGATCGTGTTAAGTCAGATATTTTAGTCCATTTCTAATGATTCAGAACTATTTAATTTGTAAACAAATATTACAAGCACTGTAATATTTTAGGGCTGATCAATTGTTTTTACAATATCTTCAATGTTATTTTGTCACGCATTTGTAGCTTTTGAATGAATTTGTCGCATAATCAGTCACAAAAGTCTACGTACGTTTTGTAAATATACATTATTACGAAAAATAGAAGAATTATAATAATTTCATAGGTTAACTGTTTAATTGTTTGCAAAGTTACAAATATTTGAGAGAAATAACAGTATTCATTAACTTCTTAGTGTTTATTTGCAAGCAAACATTAAGAAATCCAAATTATAATCTTAGGAAAATAAATATACGAGCGACACAATTGTAATAACGGTTACAAAAATTATTCCCATCAATACAGTAATATTTTGTTCGCTCTCCCTCATGAACATAAACAGTCCTATAACGCCATACATTCTTGGTTTTTCAGACTCTATTAGATGGATGTACGCAGACTTGTGTGACTGGCTGTAGGTCGCTGAACTTGACTTAAAAACGACTGCCACCCTATACGGTAAAAATTATAACATTCCGTAATATAAAAAAAAAACCGAAACTGACCTTGAAATCTCTGTAACTAATAAGGAACATCATCCAATCGATACTTTCCGATTTTTGTAAAACTTGACTTACAAATGGAACACTGAGAAATCTTTTAATTGATCGATATTCATAGTTAAAGGGTGAGAAGTACTTTCCAAAGTTACGAATCAAATGTTTATTCAGTTACATTCATCGAAAACTAATTAGAAATCAATGTTAGATAGCAAGAAGTTGTTCAATGTGTAATATTCCGAATTTTTATGGATATTTTACACATTTTTCTTTTTTCACTATTCATTCGAAATTTAAAAAGAAAATTGTAAAAAATGATTTAGATACTTTTTAACGAGAATTAGTTTCTACAGAATAAAGTTCATCGATTTTTTCTCTATCTCTTACAGTAAAGTAAATCAACAATGAAAAAGTTTCGTTTTTAATAGCTATTCAGATTTAATTGGTTACGGTGGCGTCAACTATGACTTGAAATATTAATGCAAAGCTTACAACTGTTCGTCAAAAATCATGCTACACTCATGTCCAATTTATTTCCAATGTGCATCAGTTTTTGAGATATTTAATGCAACAGGTATTTCATCCACAATTTTAAACGTACTTTTCATCCATTAAATATGAATATCAACCAATGTAAAAAGCACCGATGCAACATTCATCAATGCTCTCCCACTCTACATACCAAGATTCATAAAAATAGAAAATAGTCAATCATGTGATGTTTGTCAATATTCACAACAAAACAGACGATTCCACCATGTACGTCCCCTTTCGAACAGACATATGTAATTCGTAGGAAGTAACACCCAATTGGTCGTCAAATTTCAAAAATAATCGCATCGATCGCATCCTAAGAACAATCCTATTTGTATTGTACAATTACGATACAACTACTTGATTGCATTTCACAGAAAATCGTTGGAAATAATAAATGCTCCATGAAAGTTCGCAACGGAGCGAAAAAGATTGGAAAATCGCGAAAGAAAAGCAAATCACTTCGCCAAGGGGTACACACGTTGAGATGGCTCATCTATTAGAACGATCCTCCTAGATACGTTCAGTTTTTCGAGCGTATCCAGGCCACAGTGCAATGAACTGGAAACGACGAATTTAATACCGAGTACCGTACTACGCTCTGGAAATAATTACGCAGCTAGGAATTTAAAAGAACGATATGGGTCACCAGCGAATCAGCCACATTTCCTCTGTACGTACTGTTCTGACGCGTCCTTAACATTCGCGGCATAACAACGCATCGAATGCACGCGTTCTCCTCGATTTCCACGTCCAGGTGTCTAATAAGATTCGTAGACGCAACGATTTGCAATGATAGTGTTGTGAGAGCTCCGTGATTGATCGTACTCGTATCTATTAAGCGTACAAGTTGATTCTGTGCCTCTGTATTTGATTATTTATAACTCCAGTTTAAACAGGTATATTCACTCGTCATTTTGTACATTAAAGTACAAATTTTCTAAATCCTCAACGTGATCTCTATTACGATGTATTTACACGTGTAACTTGAATATCCATATGATGGTCCTTCCAATACATTTATACGGACTTAAACAATTTATATTTGATTGTATAGTATAGAAGAATATTTTCTTCTTCAAACGTATTTTTATAAAAATTGTACAGTTTATGTTGTATGCTTTGTTGAATGAGGCAGTTGTAATTATTAGATGCAGAAATTAATTCTATGCTTCTATATACAATTACTTGTAACTCTAGTTATCTCTATCAGTCTCATCCTGGTGGTCATTCCAATGCAACTATACGAAGTTTAGTAGATATCGAATTTTGCTTATTGTTATCCTTCTACCATTACTGTAATTAGCAAACACACGTAATCTGCTGAAATAATAGTAATAAGTAAACATCTATGGCTACTAATCTTCGTATATACATACATATATGTATGTTGTAATGGAAATTAGGTTAGAATTTAGGTTGTTTAATATATGTATATACTCTCAGGTGCTATAACTATATTTAATTGTAGCTACAGTACGGGTTTAGCGATTCCGAGATACTCCAGCTATGAGGGATTAAAGAATAATGTAAACCATTGTAATATAAGTAATTAAAGATTCATGAAAAACAATGTAAATATGTTATCGAAAAAAAACACATATATACAAGATTGGTAATTTGTAACAAACAAGACTGGACTAATAGGTGCAATAATTTGTATAAAACAGACTACGTTCCTTATAAAATGAACGAACGATGTATGTATAGATTCAATGTAATGGAGACCAGGTTGAGAACCTAAAATGACGATTAAATATTCCTACTTAAACTAAAGTTATAAATGGTTGGTATGGTAATCGACAATTCTAGTCATAATGATACGTTAATATAACTTCAATGCTCTTCAGTATAACCTATTTTTCTATTTCGGAGAAAAAAGAAGTTTTGAGCTAAAATAAACGTGAAAAATAATAACAGTAGTGGAGAGAGCTTATATATAAATTGTTTAACTACGTTCCGTTCATGCCAATACAAAATCAGTTTAATTTATATAAAAGATAGGTGGGTTAAGTCTAGAGATTTAAATCGGAAGTTATTTAATTATTCGAGTAGCACAAGTTATCGCGTCCCGTGGTGTAATAAAAAATTGCAAAAATGCAATCTAATACGTTTTAAATAAGAAAACAGAAAAGTCTGTTCCGAAAAGCTTGCTCAAACCTTGTAAAATGAAGTATCTATAGACGCGGTAGCGAAGGCTACGCGCTGAGCGGCCGCGTCAATATCCTTCGATGCACGTCGAGTCACTTATTCGAGTACGAGAGCGGCTACCTAGCGCGTAGCCATCGCTATTGCGGCCGCTCCAACAGTATACGCGCGCTCTGATTGGTCAGTGTTTTCCGTTAATATCTCCTCAACAAAGCCTCGGACAACAATTTCGCTAAGGAAAAAGTTGTTTCAAATCACCCCCTGAACCACCCTTTTCAAGGATCTCCAACATTTTTTGGACACCCTGTATGCCTGACGTTGGCGCTACCGCGTATCTTTTACTCGAAAAAACGTGATTCCAACCTAACCCGAAACTTCTGTCATTAATATCTCGTCACGCCTGCTGTATTTTCTAAATCTAAAGGCATTTTTCTGATGCAAATCGCACATAAGCTTTCGAATAAAACCAAAATCAATAAAATCGGTCCACGAACGACAGAGATATCGTAATATCATATCATGACTGTGTCAAAAACTGCAGCATTTTTCTTTTCCTTTGACAAAAAAGTTTTCGTCAACACTTAGCCAATAGGAACTAAGGCCGTTCGTCGATTCGTCAAGTCTCGGCATCAGTCGGCAAGGCTCATCGGTCAGAATTGTAATATGACTGTCACTCATGCCGCTCGTTCATTTCTAACCTGTAACTGTCAGTTTGGATTTGGAACATTTGGTTTCTTGCAACAAGACTTTCTGACATGCATTGTGCGTACTTTTGAAAACTTAAAGGACTGAAACTGGAATTATAATACAATAAATTGTGCGTTACCAATAGTGGATCTCTTTGTACATTTTCCCACTTTATTATTAACATTTAAATTTGTTACAACAAGACTTTCTGCCTTGCGTTCTGCGTGCTTTTGAAAACTTAAGGGACTGAATCTGGTATTGTAATATAATAAATCGTGCGTTAGAAATAGTGGACCTCTTTTTCCATTTCATACTTCATTTTTAACATTTAAGTTTGTTACAACAAGACTTTCTGCCATGCGTTATGTGTTCTTTTGAAAACTTAAGGGACTGAATCTGGTATTGTAATATAATAAATTTTGGGTTACTCATATGACATTAATTTTATTTGTAAATAACACATACAAACCTTATTTTACTTGCAAATTAATGTAGAGCTTAAAATAAAAATACATTTGTTTTTTATTATAGTAAGCATAGAGTCTACAATATATATAATGTGTCTGAAGCCAAATATAGGAAAGACAGCTTCAGTCCTTTAAGTTTCTAAAAGTATACAGAACGCATGGCAGGATGTCTCACTGCACTGAAATTTAAATGTTAAAGATGAAGCGAGTAATGAACAAAAGAAATCAATTATTTGTAACGTATAATTTATTGTATTAGAATAAAGTTCAGAAGTATGCAGAACACGTGGCAGAAAGTCTTGTTGCAAGAAATTCGAATGTTAAAGATAAAGCGAGAAATGAAAAAAAAAATCCACTATTTGTAACGCACAATTAATTGTATTGCAATATCAGTTTCAGTCGTTAGAATTTTCAAAATTACACACAATGCATGGCAGAAAGTTTTGTTGCAAGAAATTGAAATAATGAGAAAATGGACAGAGATCCACTATTTGTAACACATAATTTATTGTATTACAATAACATAGAAAAAGAGAGGTCAGACTTAGTCCTTTAATTTCTCAAACGTACCCATGACACATGAAAGAAAGTCTAGTTGCATTTAAATGTTACTGATAAAGTGATTACATTTTTTCATTAATAAATGTCTTGCAATGAGACTTCCTGCAATGCGTTCCGCGTACTTTTGAAACCTTAAAGGATTTAAACTGATCTCTCATTTTCTATTATTTTACGTCATTCACTATACAAATTATCTTTGTAAAAAGAAGTGAGATCCCCATAAAAAACTTCAAAAAAGTAAGAAAATTACGCAAAGTACATGAAAAAGTGGAAGACTCAAAGAGTTATCATAGAAAAATAAAAGATCGCCATAAAAAAACTACAAGAAAGTAGAAAAAGATGTGAAATCTAAATAAGCAGCCAGTACATGAAAGTCCTTTCCAATAAAGTGCAAAGGCGACACTGTATAACACAATGTAAAATTCGGTGGTTTTCAACTATGCGCAGCTAGAATGCTGTGTTCAACAGTGCGGAGGTTCAGATCTTAATGACAATTCATGTAAAGTGACTGCTCCGCAGTTTGGTGGTGAAATGAAGAAGCTAAATAGTGTATCATCCACAAACTGAGACTGTTTAAAAATTTGCCTAGATGTCCGCGGCCTGGAAGTCAAATGCTTGGCGTGGCCAGGCAAAGCATTCTCAGATCATCAATACCGATACTTTTTCTCTCGCAGACTTTCACATAAATTGTCAATTTAAAACTTTGACAATATAAGTACATTTTCATTTTATTGCGTTTTAAAATATTTCTAAGGATACTCATTGACGCAAATACCTCTCCTCTCACAGGCTTTCAGATAATTTCTCAGTTTAAAACGCTGACAATATGAGTACATTTTCATTATTTTACATTTTAAAATAATTCTTATTCATCAAAACCTTGACCTTGCCTGGCCACGTCAAGCATTTGACTTCCAGACCACGGACATCTAGGCAAATGTCTAAACAGTCTCAGTTTGTGGTTCATACACTATTAAGCTTCTTCATTTCACCACCAAAGTGCGGAGCAGTCAGTTTACATGAGTTGTCATTAGGGTCTGAACGTCTGCATTGTTGAACACAGTATTTTAGCTGCGCATAGTTGGAAAGCACCGAATTTGATATTATGTTACACAGGGTCATCTTGAACTTTACTGGAAAGGACCTTCATGTACTGGCTGCTCATTTCGATTTCACATCTTTTTCTACTTTCTTGAATTTTTTTAGGTGGCTCTTCTATTTTTCTATGATTACTCCTTAAGTCCTCTACTTTTTCATGTACTTGATGTAATTTTTTTACTTTTTTGAAGTTTTTTATGGGGATCTACTTTAGACAGCCATACAAGCGGCGTATGTGGTTCTTTTTCAACGATGGGGGCCTCTGCATCCTCGGAGAGGCTAACAAGCCTACGCTGCATCCAGTAAATAGAGATCATGAGGCAGAAACCGCTAGGAAGAAACCTCTCTGAGAATTCTCTAACTGATTTAACTAACACAAACTAATTAACTGACTATTATTTTAATTAAGACGAAACATCATCGTGCTTGTTAAT